GACCAAAGTGCTTTACAGAACACAGAATTAAAAAAAAAAAAAAAAAAAAAAGAAATAAGCATATCCCACATAAAAGGCAGCAAAGCTACCAGTAGCCTTGTCAGAGACCCAGTTATAACATAATAAAATACTTAAAAGGAGATCAGTATGCTAAAGAGAAAAGGTAGGTTTTCACCAAAGATTTAAAAATAGACAGGTTTGGGGCCAACCCCATATTACAGTTTTTCTCAAATGCTAAAACACAAAAGCCAATCCTCTAAACCAAATGACCAGTTGTCTAAACACATTTACTAAATCTAGCCATCATTTTCCAATATCAAAAACACATTTCACATGAAGACACAAGTCACAAAACACAATCCTCTGTTCACATAAATCTTAACACATTTTTCCTTGCTAAAACACAAGTTGCAAAAGAACTCATCTCATATTCTCAAATGAAAGCTCATGTGATGCAAAATGCTTGCCACAGTCAGCAATATTTGAACAAAATGAACACATCTGGCGTCATTCATTACACACAACAACTCAAAATTGAAAACACCTGTTGCTAATGGTGGGAAACTCAGGTAACACAACAGGTATTGTACTCTATTGCTTTCTAAGTCACAATACAATTTTTCAAGCCTGCATGTGAAAGTAGTCTATTGGTTTCAAATCAGTTGTTACTGTATTGTAAAACATGTCAATTGACAACACGCTTCTTTCTTTAGAGTTGAAAGAATGCCACATAGAGGTGTGAGGGTTGCCATATTTACAGCGGCACAGAACCCTCATTGTGGATATGGTTCGTGAGAACAACCTCATCTGACTCCTCATCAGACTACAGTAAATGTCTGTCTGCCACCCTACTCCCCTTCCTGAACCCTATAGAGGAGTTCTTCTCATCGTGGAGATGGAAGGTTTATGACAGACAACCATACACTAGAGAACCTCCTAAGGCCAATGGAACTGGCGTGTGTTGACAATGACATCCCAGTGGAGAACTTCCAAAGATGGATCCGCATTCCAGGGCGTTTTTCCCGCGGTGCCTGGCAAGAGACAATATAGCCTGCAATGTGGATGAGGTGATGTGGCCCGATGCAGCTCAGCGACATGATGCCGCACAGTGATTGTGGTGTAAATAAAATAAATTACAGTAAAAAAAAACTTCACACCCTGATCATGTTTTCAAGAGTACTGTTGTGTGCAATAGATTCTGTTTTGCATTGAGTTGTGTTACAGTATGTACTGAATTTACTATAGATTTATACTCTTCATATGAAAACTCACAAATCTAAATGATTAATCCTCTGCAGAGATCTAAGAAGATCCATTACTGTAAAGTTTCTAAAAATATGCATTGGCAGTTATGATACAATGAACCTTCTCACAAATTGAGCATTGTGTTTTCAATTGTTTTCCTGTAGTGTGTAATGATGTGTATAGTGTTTACATTTTTGAAAGCTTCGAGCTGCTCTTTTGGTGTGAAAGTTTGAGTTTTGAAGGGAGAAGGTGTGGTTGTGTTTATGTAGCTTTAGAAAAGGGTGTTGTGTTTAGACATTGGAGAACATGGATGAAACGTTTGTGAAATGTGTTTTAGCATTTGAGAAAAACTGTATTTCTAGTTTTATGATATTCGATTTGTTCATATTACATTTTTATCATTAGTTTGAATTAATTTGACAGACAGCATTACCTGATGTGGACCAAGCTAGCGTCTTTCAGAGCTGCCAACTCTCACAACACTTTTCACACACTTTCACGCCACACATCAATTTTGTCATGCACAGAAAAGGACACGGAGACCTATGTCAGCTCTCAGATTCTGTTCATTTTATTACGCAATTCAAACAATAAATACAGTATTGGCACTTTACACGACAGATCCCTAGCGCACGTGAACCGATCATCTCTACTAGCTATGGTAAAAGAACACGAACACTGTTGAAAGATACAGTATGCTACAACTTACCAAAATGTATTCCTCATGCATAATATCGACCAATCATTTTTTTTTTAAACTCTTCCCTGAACTGAAATGTAGTAGTGGGTGTATTTTCCACACGACGACTGACGTCAGGTTAAGTACACACAAGCTGGCGCGAGCGCGACTTACTCGTGTACTGCAGTTTGGCTGGTGGGTAACGTTGCCCCCGCATACCGCCTCCCATGGTCGAAACGGTATTACGACACCTAACGGGCCGGGGCTAGTAATTTAGCATGCTAATTCAGGTTAATATCTCGGCAGCACTATAACTTGTCAGTTTTTTAATGACATCATCAACCTTATTTCTTCTCAATCTTTTGATGCGTGTTGCTCATTTTTGGGATATTTTAACCTCAATTTTTACAGATGGCACCTTTAAACACACCAAAATACATTGTGTAAATACATTACAGTTTTTCTCAAATGCTAAAACACATTTTACAAACGTTTCGTCCATGTTCTCCAATGTCTAAACACAACGCCCTTTACTAAAGCTACATAAACACAACCACACCTTCTCCCTTCAAAACTCAAACTTTCACACCAAAAGAGCAGCTCGAAGCTTTCAAAAATGTAAACACTATACACATCATTACACACTACAGCAAAACAATTGAAAACACAATGCTCAATTTGTGAGAAGGTTCGTCGTTTCATAACTGCCAATGAATATTTTTAGAAACTTTACAGTAATGGAGCTTCTTAGATCTCTACAGAGGATTAGGGTATTTAGATTTGTGAGTTTCAAATGAAGAGTATAAATCTATAGTAAATTCTGTACACTACTGTAACACAACTACAGTAAATGCAAAAACAGAATCTATTGCACACAACAGTACTCTTGAAAACATGATCAGGGTGTGAAGTTTTTATTTATTTATTTTATTTACACCACAATCACTGTGCGGCATCATGTCGCTGAGCTGCATCGGGCCACATCACCTCATCCACATCGCAGGCTATATTGTCTCTTGCCAGGCACCACGGGAAAAACGCCCTGGAATGGCGGATCCATCCTTGGAAGTTCTCCACTGGGATGTCAACACACGCCAGCTCCATTGCCCTTAGGAGGTTCTCTCTAGTGTATGGTTATCTGTCATAAACCTTCCATCTCCACGATGAGAAGAACTCCTCTATAGGGTTCAGGAACGGGGAGTAGTGTGGCAGACAGACGTTTAAAAAGTGGTTACTGTTGGTGGTGAACCACTCTCTGATTTGATTTGGTTTGTTTTGTGGAAGGGTACATTGTCCCAAATGATCACATAAATGGTATGTTCGGGCCCAGGATGGTGTTGTTGGCGGTCCAGGGGGATATCTTTGAGCTCCTCTAGGAAGGTTAGGAGACGTTGGGTGTTGTAAGACCCAAGGACAGCCTGCCGGTGGACAAGCCCCTCCAAACCCATGGCCGCACAAAGAGTCGTTGGCCAGGAACCTCAGTGATGGCTCTTTGGCCAATGATGTTACGGCCTCTTTGCCTTCGTTTCTGCAGGTTGAAGCCAGCCTCATCCAGGAAGAAGTACTCATGAGATCTGGCCATCGCGTCCAACTGTAATATCCTCTGTGAAAATGTGAAAGTGCACAGGTGTTCAGAACAACAGTCAATCAGGTAGCATAGTATTGTCCAGAAGTAATGTAGGCCACTGAGCAACACAGTATGTTCACTAACTGTACTGTGAACATGGATGTATACTTACTTGCACATACTCGTAACGTAGGTCTTTGTGTCGCGCAGAGTTTCGCTCAAAGGGAACCCTATAGACTTGTTTCATCCACATCTTTTGGCGCCGGAGAACTCGGTCTACCATGTCATGCCATGGTCAATGACTGTTGCTCGCATCTCGTCCATAATGATGGTGCGAGGTTGTCTTGCTCTCCCTCCTGGACCTTCTCCTCTCCCTTGTTGGCCTCCACCTCTTCCTCCTTGGCCTGCTCCTCTTCCTCCTTGGCCTGCTCCTCTTCCTCCTTGGCCTGCTCCTCTTCCTCCCTGGCCTGCTCCTCTTCCTCCTTGGCCTGCTCCTCTTCCTCCTCTGACTCGTATACCTCTTCCCCTGACTCTGCCTTCATCCATTGTGTTTGTTTGGAATCTTCAGCAAACTGTGCACTTTGAACTTGCTTTTATACATGTGGTCACAGCATTAGCAAGAGGTGTTTTAAATTTTGAGTCGTTGTGTGTAATGAATGACGCCAGGTGTGTTCATTTTGTTCAAATATTGCTGACTGTGGCAAGCATTTTGCATCACATGAGCTTTCATTTGAGAATATGAGCAGAGTTCTTTTGCAACTTGTGTTTTAGCAAGGAAAAATGTGTTAAGATTTATGTGAACGGAGGATTGTGTTTTGTTAATTGTGTCTTCATGTGAAATGTGTTTTTGATATTGGAAACCCAGACAGCAAACTGACATTGAATCAACGTGGAAACGACGTCTCTCATGACATTGAAACAACGTTGATTTGCTCATCGATTTAACGTTGAACCAACGTCAGACGCGGCATTCTTCAAAGCTAAATGAAATCGAAAATTGGTTTGCTTTCATAACGTTGAAACAACGCGTTGATTTCAAGTTGATTTTCCGTTAGTTTTGAAAGAATGACGCATCTGACGTTGGTTCAACGTTAATTCGATGAGCAAAACAATGTCAGATCAACGTTGTTTCGATGTCATATTTCCACGTTGATTCAATGTCAGTTTGCTATCTGGGAAATGATGGCTAGATTCAGTAAATGTGTTTAGACAACTGGTCATTTGGTTTAGAGGATTGGCTTTTGTGTTTTAGCATTTGAGAAAAACTGTAATAATGTTGACTTTAAAATGTGGTATATTGTAAACTTGCCTAGTATTTATGAAAAATGTGTATTACTTTATTATAGAGATTTTTTCTCTGTTTTTAATTTTTCTTTTTATTATCATTGTATTTGTTTCTTCTACTATTTGATTTGAGCTAATTGGTGTTATTATTGCCTTTCTATGTTCAGTTTTCAAAAGATCGCAAGCAAGCAGAAAGCAGCGTGAGCAGGACTTTTATTTTGACCTGACGATATGACGTCGTAAGATTGCGCCGCGCTCCTACGTCTGTTTTGTTTTGGCTGAGGAAAGGTTTGTGGTTTTTCCAGCATTTAAGGTGTTTAAATCGATAAAACCCTCAAATTAAGTCAAAAGTAAAGTTTTTGCTAGCGATGTAAAATGAGGGAATTATTATTGAATATATTATTGCTATGCTTTAACTAACCAACATGGTTTATTTTTGTGAGTAAAGCTCATCTACACAGTAACGTTAACAGAAAAGAAACAGAGAAGGTGCGTCTTATTTCGCTTATCCCTATGACTGGTTATCGTAAACGAATTTGGCTGCTGACATGTATTACTGATGAGAGAAAGGGAGCTTTTCGGAAGTCCGAGTGCACTTTAATCAAATTCGCAACATTAACAAATTTGAAGCACGCACGCAGACGACACGTTGGTCAAACCCGTTTAATTTAACGAAAAAACAACCATGTGTAACTTTAACGAACTATGGAGCTGATTGAGACGCACCCTGGGATTTAGTTTTGATTTGTCTTTTTTTCTTTTGATTATTCTCATCTTAATCATGACAGCGTGTCTAAACACCTGGTGAAGCAGCTGAGATCCATATGTGACACAATTGTAAAGATGGCTTTTATTAAAGAGGAGAGTGAAGACATCAGGATTGAAGAAGTATTCAGTGTGAAACAAGAAGATACTGAGGAACAAACAGGTTGGTTTCATTCTCAAAGTTGAACTCTGACAATAATCCCTTATTAAAATTTTGGCCTCTACAGAAATGAATGATATTTTTGAAAAAAGTGCCATATGAGCAGTGGCGGCTGGTCAACAGAGATGTTGCCATGTTCAAATTTATCAAAGAAAGCTACATTAACAATGTTTAGTTTAGTTTTATGGTAAAAACGCAAAACATTTTATTTCATTTTCTTCTTTACATAATTTAAATTCCCATGTGCAAAAGGGAGCAGAAAAAAGATTAAATCTTATAATATCTGTCCCCTATTTCAAAATACAAAATAACCGTCTTAAGTAGCTTGCAGCCAAAATTACACTGAAAAAAATAACAACAATGTTGGTTTAATTAACAGCAATTCATGCAGTATAATAAATCAGGCAATGCCCAAACGGCAAAACAAGTAATCCAATACAGAAACAAAACAAGACAACGTGGATCCCACCATATTAATACTAACCAAATTTACTTTGCTTATATCTCTGTTTATAATAGCCGATACTATTAGACCCTATATAAATAGAAGGAAAAAAAAAACACTGAACAAAAAACACAACAAACCAAACAACTCCAGAAGCAACATAAATCTCACCATATTAATACTGACTGAATATACTCTGTTTATACTTATACTTAAACTGACCAATGTTGCTACTTTTTTAACTTTTAAGATTATCATGCAATGAGTTCCATAATTTTACTCCCATAACTGAGGGGCACATTTGTTGTATAGTCGTACGTGCAAATTGATTTTTAAAATGATATCTTCTCCTTCTGTACTCTTTTTCTAACTGATAATAATGTTGTATTTTCTCTGGTAAGATTTTCAGTCTTACTTTAAACAATATAATTAGTGTTTTTGAAACTTAACCAAATCTTCTATCTTTAATATTCTGGATTTAGCAAATAATTTGCTTGTATGTTCTCGATAATTTACTTTATGAATAATTCTTATAGCTCTCTTCTGTAGAACAGATAAAGGTTTTATATTTTTCTGATATGTGTTCCCCCATACTTCTATGCAATAAATCAAATATGGTATAATGAGTAAACTATAAAGTATTTTCATTGTTTCCTTATTTAATACCTCCTTCACTCTGTTTAAAACAAAAATATTTTGGGACATTTTTATTTTAAAGTATGCTATGTGTGAGGTTTCCATGTTAATTTATCATCCATAATTGCACCAAGAAAACGAAACTCAAACACTGTCTCAATATCAACTCCATCTATGGATAAAGCTACAGATTTGTTTATTTTCCTATTTGCAAAGACCATAAACTTTGTCTTTTCTAAATTCAATGAGTTATTTACATCAAACCATTTTTTCAGTTTTGTCATTTCGCATTCAATAGATTATTCTACTAGTTTCTGTATATTATTTCCAGAACTGAAGAAATTAGTATCATCTGCAAATAAAACAAACTGTAATAATTTGGAAACATCACAAATGTCATTAATGTATAAAGAAAAAGTTTAGGTCCCAAAATAGAACCCTGGGGGACCCCACATTTAATTTCCATAAGTTGAGATTTGATCTGTACATTGTTTTCTGTTATTCAGATAACTTCTCAACCAATTTAGGGCCATTACTCTCATTATGTTAGATATCACAAATTAATAAAGAAATAAAATTTAGTCACAGCTTTCGACTGTTAGTCATGTTAAAATTGATTTAAAAAAATCCCAATTGTATTTCGTTCATATCTGTGTGCGGGACGCTGGCCAAATGAGTGTGCATGTACTAGGTCATGTGACTTGAGGCTGAGTTCTAGTTGTCTTGCCTCACATTGTCCTCGGGTCGCAGCGCTCTGCGCCACAGACCCTCTCACTTTTGAATTCAGCGAATAAATGTTGTTTTTATACTTTTAGCCTCATGTGATTGGACCCTTCTCAATGACTCCTATTCCCGCACATTGGCTTGTCAATTGACTGGTACTGATGAATGTGGAAGCCAGCAAGCGCAATTTCTCTTCGGGATGAAAGAAAATTCAGTTTTATCTTTACAAAAATACCCTTTTACAAAGCGTTCACACAAAGAAAAAAAAAGGATCAAGGAGCTTGGACCAGATCAACCCAACTTGCAAATTCAACAGCAGTCAAGTAATCGCGGGCGAATATACACTCGGGCCTTCTCCAGCACTTCTTACGGCAAGCGGAGTTGGCTAGCTGGATGCAATGTAAGTCATGCCTTTTATTGTTTTCCCTGTTTGCTGTTTCAAAATCCTGGCACCGAAACGTCGTGGACAACGACAGGAGTGCGCGATTTAAAACATCTCTCTGAAAAGTGCAAACGACATGAAAGTAGCCGCAGCCATCTTGACAACGCTATGAGGCTACAGTTTATCGGGAAGCTTAGCATTGCTGAACAGCTGGATGAAGGCTACAGGCTTGGCATTCGAAGGCACAATGAGGAGGTCGCAAAAAACCGGCACATCCTTTCTAGAATAATAGACTGTGTGAAATTTTGCGGCGCGTTTGAGCTGGCTTTGCGTGGCCATGATGAGATTGAGAGCTCAGAGAATCCCGGGATATTCCGCGGCTTGGTGGATTTTGTTGCTTCCCTTGATGGAGTGTTAAAAGAGCACCTTGAGAATGGCACTTTGTTTAAGGGAACCTCAAAAATGGTGCAGGACGAGCTGTTGGACTGTATGTTGTCTGTTGTGAAGGAACACATAATCAAAGAAGCACAGAGCAGCGACTTTCTCTCAATCCAGGTTGACGAGACCACTGACATTGCCACACAGTGCCAACTTGTGCTTGTGCTGCGCTACATTGATGCCAAAAGCAATGTCCAGGAGAGGTTTTTTGAGTTTATTCCGCTGCATTCGGCTACGGCTGATTCCATCGCCACTGCACTGAAAGAGCGTCTCGCTGTCATCCTTCCTGAGGATCAGAGGGGTAAACTCATCTCCCAAGCATATGATGGAGCCAGTGTGATGAAGGGTGCCACTGCCGGTGTTCAAAAGAAGATACAAAATGTCTACCCAAATGCCCACTACGTCCACTGCTATGCACATCAACTCAATGTAATAATACAACAGGCCACTTCTCACATACCCAAAGTGAGAATTTTTTTCTCTGACCTTGGAGGATTTGCCAGCTTTTTTTCGAGATCACCCAAGCGCACCGATGTTCTTGATAAAGCAGTGGCCCATGGACTGCCAACTTCAAGCAACGTTAGATGGAACTTTCATGGCTGTGCCGTCAATACCGTGTTCGAGCACAGGGAAGACCTCATCCGCTGTTTTGAAACCATACGAGACTCGGGTGACTTTGACCCTGTTACCGTCAGACAGGCAGGAGCCTTCGCCATGCTGCTTGAGGATAAGGATTTTAAGTTCTTTTTGCAACTTTTCCACAACATCATACCACATGTGGAACAACTCTTTACTCGACTCCAGAAGAAAGACATTGATTCGGGCCACATCAAGAAGAGCATCCATCAGTTTCAGCAGGACATAGAGAAGATCAGGTAGCAGCTATATTCCTCCTTTTGCAATTTTTTTTATTATTATTATTATTATTATTTATACGTTTTCTTATTCCTTTGTAGGAATTCTCCCCCTTCCCTGGTTGACCAATGCAGTGGTGGTTCTCAAGCGAAGAGGCGCCGGTCACATATTCCAGAGGACCTTGAACAGATTTCAGCAGAGGTAAGTTTTATTTTAGTAGTCCATATTACACTGCAGTATGATTTTTATTTTATTTTTTTATCTTGTAATCCAACATTTGAATTTTACATTAGATAGTTTAGGCTACTTCTTCATTAATCCAGATAGATTTGAAAACGGATTATTCGATTCAAAACACTCTCCAAGTGTTTTCCAAAAGTTTCTCATCCACACTGAAATGTTGGAAAACGCTAAATACACCTTTATGTGCTTGTTTAAAACCCTCATAAAAGCCCACTAGCCGCGTTTCCACTGCCGGGCTAGGGCTGGGCCAGAGCTAACAGTGAGCCGAGCCGAGCTAGTGGCCTCGGGCCTCAAGCACCGGGCTTGCGTTTCCACTGCCGGGCCAGTAGCCCCACAGCGCTGCCCCAAACCCCACCCCTAACACGCCTTTCTGGATCAAGGCCCATCGGTTAATACTCGGTGCATAGTGTGCGCGCCGCAACCTCGAGATACAGAGTTAATTTTTTAACACCTTTAATAACTGATTGGACCCCATTTGAAACTAAATTAATTTATAGAAATAAAACGCAGCAAGTACGGAGCAGTTAAAGCCGCATTTCCATCACCCTTCAAACTGAAATTGCCAATTGAAAATAAGCAAAACGTCCATTTCACAAAAACTCAGTGTCTGCAAATAATAATAATAATAATAACCATCATCATCATTATTGTAACATTTTATTAGGCTGCATATGTAGAAGACGCCTTTATCCAAAAAAGGAACAGAGCACAAATAAACACAATATTTTTGATGCGTATCAGCGCATATCCAGTGTGTGTGGAGCACGCACGCACTGGCTGCGAGACGCCCATGTGAACACTTGCAGTTTCATTGCATTTCTTTCAGTGGAAACAACTTAAAATACTCTTTCATTTCTGGTCATACAGAAAATAATAATACATTATTCGCAAATACATTTATTTGCGTAAACTCACAATAACAAGAAAACGTTGTGCTTTAACAATTAATCAAGGCGCGCTTCATGATCTCCGTGAACTGAAGCGCGAGACCTGAAACAGCCACCGCATTCGAATTTGTTCGTTTTAAATTGGACATGTAAAGCTTTAGTCTACAGGGGTTATATCCTTTGTAGATTAAAGCTTTAAATGTCCAATTTAAAACGAACAAATTCGAATCGAAAGCCAATATCTTCTGACTATGTAATTATGTAGCTAATTAATTTCTCTCTAAATGTGCATCCGGAGATGGAGATATGTTTTTAGCCGAAAATCATTTAGAAATCAATAGTTTATTAATAAACAATTAATGCCTCGTTATTTTATATTATTTTATTATCAGACACATTTATTATAGCCTATAAATCACCTATAATCCCATTTCTGTAGGCTGTGGTTACGGCTCTTCTCATTCAGCACTGCAGGGAAAATATCATTTCCAGGTTCTAATTTGGCCTCAGAAAACCAGTAAAATATATATTTTTTTCATATTAATTTGTCAAATATTTTAAATGTTTAAGGGGCAAAAAAATCAAACAAATATCTGAAAATTCGTCGATATGTAGCCTATATATAGCCTATATATTTTTGCGCAGCATTTGGCATAGGCCTACAGTTCAAATTAAAATGTTATGCAATTTTAAACGGTTAATCGGTTAAACATGGACACCCCTATGTGCATCTTGCTTCAGATCATAACGTTCCATAACACTGATAAATCCGCCTTTTACCTTGAGCACGCCTCTAGCCCGAGCTGGCCCCCTCTGGCCCAAGGTATTCGACGGGCCAGAAATCCTGGCCGTTGGCCCTGAGGAAGCCCCGATCAAGCCCCGGAAGTGACAGTGGAAACGCGACTGGCCCTGGCACGCACTAGCATGGCCCGGCCCTGGCCCGGTAGTGGAAACGCGGCTACTGAGATGAAACAGACAGAACAAGACATGAAGTTATCATGCAATTCTTCTGGCAGGATCATTTTATTTTAACAAAATATCTTCCCATCACTGATGTGTCCAGGTAGCACTCAGTCACCATATGTTTGCTCTTAAATGCAACTGCTCTCAAGTTTTGCCACAGGAAAGTAAATGCGAGTGAATTTTCTGTCTTTGCACACTCTTCATATCACAGTCCTGCAAAGACAAAGTAAACATTTTAGCAACTGTATGAAAGTAAATAGCACAAACTTACTTGCGTCATCGTTTTCGAAATACCTCGATTTTGACAGTCCACAGTACAAAAAGCTTTGTTTTCTGTGCTAAAAATGCTGTCTCAGTGTGGACAGAAGGCCAAAACGTGGAGAAAAAGATGTGTTTTCAAATGAAACCTTATTAGTGTGGACAAGGCCTTATTATGAGAGTGTAGGGGAATTTACAGTTAAGACCCAGGACCAGATATGATGAATGAAGACCAGGAATCAGAAATGCAATCAATTGAAGACAAGTTTACTACAAAGTACAAAACTACAAAGTTTGCTAGGCCAAAAAAGACCATTCATCTCATAAAAATTTTTAAAAAATAATCGCGTTAAAATGGGTTTGCATTAACCCTGTTAATGGTTTAACTGACAGCCCTAATAATGATTTATTATGCATGATCATGATGTTTTCTTTGTTCACAAAAAAAGTCTTTACTATCCATTGTGGATAAATCTACAGTTATGGTACATGAATCATCATGAACTTGTGCATAAGAAAAAGCATCTATTGTGGCGTACGGATTAAACATAGGATGTGCGTACGTACAGAAATATTCGGATTTATAAAACTTTCGAACACACATCCTACGCAGTTTTCCTTTAATCAGACATGAAAACTACTCGCCTTTCGGCGAAATTCGCCGTTTTTAAACCAAAATAGGTATCCTACGTGAATCGTGTAGATTCGATGAGAAAATGTTTGGAGGGAGGGGGGGGGGGGTATAAAATAAGCCATACTATAGTATAATGTGAGATAGAAATTAATATTTAAGTAATTCAATTCAAGATCACGTAAACTTTTCCCTCCGCTGCAGCTGTCAGTAATTCTCCATTCAGCATTCAAACAAACAGCGCGTCGACTCGTCAGTCATTCTCCATTCAGCGAACAGCACAGCGCGCCGTCAGTCATTCAACATTCAAACAGCACAGTGCGTCGCGTTCGGCAACGATGAAACTCTCTCCGATGAAAGATGATTAAATGTTAATATTATACTTAATCTGTAGATAAAGCTCTTTGGTTTCGCATAAATTGACTATCTTGCAGTAGTAGGCTACCTCAATAATGTTCATTTACGGCATGTCTTATCACAACATTGAAATGTAAAACTGTTAAAAGAAAAGGCTCAATAAACTATTGCATAGATAGATAATGTAGAATTATCTATAAGATAGATAACTGTATAATACACTATGCATTATGTATTTCCTTTGTGCTTTGAACTTTTCAATGCGTAACTTAGTCTAAACAGAGCTGCGCGTTGTGACTCGTGTTGCCTCAAGCGCATCATTCAGCGTTCGGGATGCCCATAAGCGCTGTGTGCAGCACTCTATTGCTCTATTGGGGTCTTTCATAATCATATCATAATACTTTTGCGAAATGAAAGATTATTTATAGTATTTTTTTTATTCTGTTCTATCCCATCTATCATATGTTGCTGCCTCATTAAACTGTGCTATATATATATTTATATTGTTGATTTTATAGTAGACTATAAAATAATTGATCTTTTTGATTTTTATCTTGTTTTTCATGAATGTATTTTACAACAATACAAAGAGAGATGTGTAACGTTTTACCAGATTTATTGCTACACTTATTGTCTCTTATTTGTTCCCCACTAATTTTTTTTCCACTAAATGTTCTGATTTTATAAAATTATGAAATTTAAAATTAGTTACCCACTAATCTAGTTTATAATATAATTTTTGTCATAGGTTATGATCATTTTTTTTTCTTTATAAGGAAGTTGTCTGTATTAAGTATAGATTGTGTTTAACACACAAAAGAGTGATTATCACTTCAACAAACAGTTATAGAAATTCTACTTCAGTTTTTTTAAACTGCGTTGGTAACGGATAGGTATCAGTCTTTTTTATTTTTATTATTAGGCCTATTATTATTAGCTAACGCTACGGAGGCAATAATATTTTTGACTCATGGATGAAGTTAAGTTTCTCCAGCTCTCCCCAGGTTGGCAAAAAATGCATCTCAAAATGCATCAGATTGATGCTTTAAAATATGGAATATTTAAAATTTTCTTACAGGGGAGCATGCCCCCGGACCCCCCTAGATGGGTAATATCCTTCTCACCTTTTTTACCTCTGACCGGTTTTCACGTCTGCTTAATAAATAACAATCAATTCTAAATGTAGCGCAGCTTTTGCGGCTTCATGTCACGCCCATAGTTGCCCATAAATAGTCTGTGAACCGCCCACAAGTTAATATTCATCAATTGCGAAATCATGACAAACACAGAGAGGAAAACCAAGAAATGTAACTTCACACACTGTTAAATAGAAATTATCATTGGCGAGGAGGAAAATGTTGTTTGGAGGGCACAGTGTGGGCATTAATGCCAAAAAAAGGCATGCACTTGAGTGGCATAAGGTTACATTACGCATTGTGATGGCAACATGGCATTTTATTACCATCCATTTGATTGCATCTGACAAGCTACAGATGTGTTATGGGGATGAATTGCATAACATGCAATAATTATTATTGCAGAACATATTTCACTTTTATTTTTGCAAATATGTGTTAATTTGCATTTCTATTGTAATCTTTGTTTGATTTTGTTTGTTTACACTGCAGATCGATAAAACGGGTGTTCATGTAGGCTGTTAATTGTAAGACCTACTTTGTGAAGTCTTCATGTTATTTATGAGAGCCAGTATTGCCATTTATTTTACTATTACCGTTTTACAATAGTCTACGGTTTCACACTTTCACGTGTTTCTTCCATCTACCAACGCTGGCGCCATTTCTCATTTCACCAGTTTTCGTGCATACGCCTGGGTCAGAGCTTGCGTAAAGGACATTTTCGCACATTTTCCTGTCAAGTTTGCTTTTTGTAAATACACAACATTTATAAATGAGGCCCCTGGTCTTTTGAAACTGATGTGAATATGAATGTTGAACTCGTGTTGGTTCCTGTTGATTCATGAGATATTTCAAGAGGCTTCACTTACACCGTTAATCTCGCGAAATGCGAGTTTTGGAAAGCAAATTAACTTATCGGAGAAAGCAGTCTATTCTAGAATTCCCTACGCCAAGAACTAAAAAA